CCCGAGGCCCGGGCTCGCGACGGCCGAGGGCTCCGTCGGCCCAAACCGAGCTGGGCGCCCGCGGCCCGGGTGACGCCTCCGCTCCGCCCCCCTCCGCACCTTCCCCGGCCCCCGACGTCGCGCCCTTCCCTCGCTTCTCTTTGCTCCCCTCTCCCCTCTCCGGCCTCTGGTCCCGGCCCCGCTCTTTCTTCCGCAGCCTTCCCTTGGCTCCCTCCCGCCCCCCCCAGCTCCTTGCCTCCGACTCCCTCCCCCTCCACGCCCGCCCTCTCGCCTTCGCCGTCCCGAAGTGGATTAATTATACGCTTTCTGTTTCTCTCTGCGCTGCTCTCTCCCGCTGTGCGCCTGCCCGCCTCTCGCTGTCCTCTCTCCCTCTCGCCCTCTCTTCGGCCCCCCCTTCTCACGTTCTCTCTGTCTCTCTTACTATCTCTGCCCCCCTCTATCCTCGATACAACAGCTGACCTCATTCCCCGATACCCTTTCCCCCCCTAAAAGTACAACATCTGGCCCGCCCCAGCCCGCAGACAGCCCGTCCTCCCCAGACAATCAGACGAGATTCCCCCCCAAAACAAGCCATCCCCCCGTTCTGCCCCGTCGCGCATTCGGCCCCCGCGACTCGGCCAGAGCGGCGCTGGCAGAGGAGTGTCCGGCAGGAGGGCCAACGCCCGCTGTTCGGTTTGCGATACGCAGCAGGGAGGTGGGCGGCGGCTGCGCCGGCTTCCAGGTAAGCGGCGTGCGGGCGGCCGGGCGGAGGGCGTGGGGGGCTGGGGGTCCGGCTCCCCGATGCGAACCCCGGGGTCTCCCCTGCGCCGCGGAGGGGGGTGGGGGCTTCGGAAATGCCGAGGGAGGTGTGAGCTGTCTGCAAAGGCGACTTCCTGGTCGGTTTGTGGGTGCAGGGGGGTGTTGCTGAGAGTTTGTGATTTGTGCTGTGCTGAGGGCGGGGGGGCTCTCCCCCCGGGAGGTGGGTAATGAAGAGGGCAGCTACTCTCGGAAACCCACCCTGGTATGTTGACTCCGTGCCAGCAAGACTGGGAGAGGAAAACTGGGTGGGCGGGGCCAGGATGGAGCGAGGGGGGCCCAGTTGGCAAGAGAGTCGTGCCAGACGCCACATTTGCAATGCACCCCCCAGGCCCTGTTTCCCGTCCCCAACATTTCCAACTCGGAATCTGGGGAGAGGGGCTGGTCCGAGGCTCAGAAGGGCAGGAGTGTGCAGCCCAGAGAGGACCTGCCCCTGCCCAGTGGGCGGATGGAAGTGTCCAGACAGGGAGGTGGAAGGCAGCCCCCCCTCAACCCCCCCTCAAGGCCCTGTGTCGAGATGGTCTGGGGGTGCAGGATGAGCCCCCCTCATGGTACTGTGCTAAGGGATGGTCCAGGACTAGCGCTTGGGGGTGCAGGAGAGAAGGGACTGGCTGGAAGGAGGGAGGGGGCGGGAGCAAAGGGGGCGGGGGGAGTGGTCAGCAGGGAGAGGGGTGGGGGGTAGGGTGGAGCCGGGGCTGGGAGGAGCCGGCTCAGACATAAAAGCTGAGGCACTGACCAGGCTGCAGACTGGACATTAGCTTCTCCCGTGAGGCGGCTTCTGGTTCTCTCTTCCAACCCAGCGAGACTCCTGTCCAGCTGCAGGTAACCTGGGCTGTTGAGCGAGGACCCTCAACAGCCCTCCTGCTCCAGCCTGCTCGGCTGCAATGCCTCTGACCCTGGCCCCTCGGTCCCTCCTCTCTGCCTCTGCCTCCTTCTCCCCTGCCCTCCCTCCTTGGCGGGCCTGCTCACCTGCGGGCACCCCAGCGTGCCTCTCATCCAGTCTTCTGCTCTCTGGACGGGACCCCACACCGGAGCGGCGGGAGTTGCAGAAGGATGGGGCTGCGGCTTGGACGGCGCCAAGTTGCTAGCTGGGCAGATTTGTTCCTAGAATTGGAAGTGGGCGGCAGAGGGGCAGCAGGGAGACGCTGGGGTCCAGTGCAGGGCAGGAGGAGGTGAGGAGTGAGGTGGCACTTCGGACCCTCCTGAGGAGCTGGCACGGCTCTTTAGTGAGCTTAACCGAAGTTGTGCCTCTTCTCAGCCGCCATCTCCTACACGAATTATTGCGTGAAAAATCTTCTGGGCCAAGTGTGCAGCCTCCTGGCTCCAACATGGGAAGGGGCGTGCTGCCTGGTGCACCCGTGCCCACCAGGTGCAGAGCCTGGGAGGGACACATCTGGGCAGCCTGCCCAGCCCCTTGCTCGGGTAGCATCAGGGTGCCAATGGGCTCAGAGGCACTGGGCTGTGACTGTCCCCCCAGAAGGGGCTTGTACCTGGGCCTGCGGAGGGCGGACTGGGGCTGCCTGCCTGCAGGGCTTCCGCCCTCTGGAGGGGGCAGTGGCGGCTTGCTGCATCTAAAGAGAAGCTGAGGGCCCTCCCAAGCCCCGCACCTCTTAAGGGACCTGGTTAACCCTGGCCCCAGGCCTGCAGCCACATGGCCTTTGCAGGGGATGTGTCCTAGGATGTGCTTCTCCCTCCAGATTGGGCTCTGGACACTAAGGGGCCTGGTGTCCGGCCTCCAGGTGGCCTGACCTGTTCTCTCCAACTCCCAAGGTGGAATTTGGTACCTCAAAACAGGAAGAGGTCTGATGGTCCCCAGAGGACTTTGAGGTCTTTGGCCCTGGGTGATGAGATGTGAGGCCTGGAAAGGAGGCTTTTGGCGTTTCTCCATGTTTTGGGGTACCCAGGGCAGACTGGAGTTGGGGACTGGGTGGTTCAGGAGAACAAGGGCTCTGGGGTGTGGCTGACACCGCTGCACTGACCATCGGATCTTTGACCTGAGCTTTGCCTAGCCACAGACTGTGTGGTGGAAAAGGCAGTGCGGGAGCAAGAGAGGGTGGGACTAGCCAGCAGGACCCCCCTGCTGCTTTGGGGGGGGGCCGGTCCTCCTGGCCCCCCTGCTCAGCTGGTCCTCGGGGGTGCACATGCTCGGTGGTGGGGTGGGGCTCTCTGCCATCTTGGCTGGTGCTAGGAGACCCAGGAGTGGCCACTGCCCTGTGCTGGCCCTGCCCCGTGACATCATAGGATGGAGGCCAGGTCCAGTGTCCAGCTCTGGGTGTGGCTGAGCCCCTGAAATGCTGACGGTGGGGCCGGTCACCCCATGTGAAATTCCTGACCGTCACTTAGTGCCGGTTAAAGATGGGCTCCACACGTCCCTTCTCTCTCCGGCTATTCTGCACCCACCTTGGCGGTGAAAGCCCACGGTATTTCTATAATTAAAGTGATACCGTGAAGGGGAAAGCCATACTTTAGAACCGTAGCAGCCTTTTGTCCGGAGATGGCTGTGCTCAGTGTCCCTGAGGAGAGCTGGTCCTCGTCCCTTTGCTGGGCCGGCGTCTCGGGGAGACCCTGGCTGGGCGGGCAGCGGGAGAGGCCTCTGGGCCCGGACTTGGCCCCGGGGTGCCGGGCAGGGCGGGTGGGGCTCACGGCCTCCTCTCTCTGCCCACAGATACCAATGGGGATCCCAGTGCGGAAGTCGATGCTCGTGCTGCTCGCCTTCTTGGCTTTCGCCTCGTGCTGCACTGCTGCTTACCGCCCCAGTGAGACTCTGTGTGGCGGGGAGCTGGTGGACACCCTCCAGTTTGTCTGTGGGGACCGCGGCTTTTACTTCAGTAAGTAGCTCAGTGCTCGGCGCGGCAGGGAGTGGGGTGGGTACATAGCAGGTGCTCAATAAATACTGGAGTTCTCCTCATCCCTCCTCAGACTCCTATGTAGAGCCTCCAGGATACTTTGAGAGTGCAGTGGGGTCCTGCAGTCCACATTTACGGGGCACCTGTGGTGTCCCTGGGGGTGCTCACAGCCCCTGACCTTCCTGCAGCGTGGCTCAGAGTGGGAGAGGTGGTCCCTACGGGGGGCGAGACCATAGCAGGCGCCCGGGGGGTGCAGGACAGGGCTTCCAGATGGGGTGACCCAAGCCCCAGCAGAGGCAGTCTGTGCCCTCTTTGCTCCTCCCTGACCTGCCCGCGGGCAGGGCTGTGGGCACTGATTTCCCTGCACATTTGGGTGGTGCCTGATGTCTTGACAGTGGGCACGTCTTCATGGGTTATGGGATTTAGAATTGGGTAAAATGCATTGAAAACCAATAAAAACAAAATGCATTGTCGCTGGTGGGTGTGAGCGTGCAGGCCCCACGTGCTCGCAGGCGCTCAGCTCCCCCTGGGCTACAGGAGAAGAGCTGACCCCTGCCATTGCAGTGTCGTCAGTGTCACTGGGGCTGGGGTCTGTGAGCCCTAGGGCCGAGTGAGGTCCACCCTGCAGGGTGGGCCACGGTGTGGGGCGCTGGCCCTAGCACGCTTTGGCTGGTCCTCACGCTTCTCTCTCGTTTCTATCCTGGGCTGGCCAGCTGAGCGCACTGTCGGGTTTTTCCCGAGACCTCTGCTTCCGCTGCGCCTGTGCCCTGTGTCACAGGGCAGGACCCCCAGTGGGAGGTGATCTCTCCCGCAGGGGCATGGGCCCTTGCCTCACCTCCCAGCAAGCTGGGCCTCAGTTTGCCTATCTGTAGGATGGGGCAGGGCGATCCTGGAGAGTGTCCATCTGGATGATGGGAGGAATTGGGGAGCAGGCCCAGCCTGACCCCGAAGGTGGAGTGTGCGTGCTCCCTCCAGGCTCAGCCACCTCCATTCCATTGCTGGGGCAAGCCGGCAAGAGCCATAAAGGTCAAACCTGGCCCCACACTCCCCACCGGCTTCCTCCTCTGCAGCCTCTACTTGCCCACCTTGTGAAATGGGCCCACAAACGCCAGCCTTGGCATTTCAGAGCTTCTCTTTGAAAAGCATTCCTACTTCTCCATACTTCTGAAGCCCCTGCCCGCCCTGGCCTCGCCTGTGCCCCCTCTCTCGCCTGCCTCGTTTGGGGGCAGGAAGTGGCACTGCAGGGTGGGGTGCCGGCCAGCCCTTGCCCGGGGAGTGGCTTCCCTGAGAGGAGGACTGGGCCGGGCCCCACCCTGGGACCCTGTAAGGGAACCCCTTACCAGGGGCTCCTCTCCCCGCCATGGCGCCTGCCCTCGGCCCCTCAGTGAAGCCGGGCGGGTCCCTGCAGCTGAGCCTTGGAGCCTGCAGTGGAGGAGCAGGGGAGGACGGGAGGGGAGGAGGGCGTGGTTTCTTGCAGGTCCTCACTCCTCTCCTCCCGTCTTCTTCTTCTTCCTCTCATTCCTCCTGTCTCGGCGGCTCGAGGGCTGTGGCCGCCCAGGCTCCTGGTTGGTTCAGGGACGGCACTTGTGTCCCCGCCCGGCCTTCAGGACAGGACTCTGTGGTCCCGTAACGTGGGGGCCGGACCCCTCGCAGGGCAGCGTGGCGCCGGGAGGCCGTGCCCATTTCAGATACGAGGAGGGAGGCGCCAGGAGGCCAGGGGGTGGTCCCGGAGCATCCTTACCCCCCATTTTCACTTCTCTCCTTTCTGGGGCACCCCTACTGCCCGGCTCTCGCTTCCCTCCTGCACTCCACGCCGCGCGGCTAGGTGGCCGAGTGTCCCTTGGGCCTGTCCTCAGGGCGGGCGGCCCTCTGCCTTCCCTGGGCGCCCCCGCCCCGGTGCTGACGTGCCGCTCTCCTCCCTCCTGTGGGACTTCCAGGCAGGCCCGCGAGCCGCATGAACCGCCGCAGCCGTGGCATCGTGGAAGAGTGCTGTTTCCGCAGCTGCGACCTGGCCCTCCTGGAGACCTACTGTGCCACCCCCGCCAAGTCCGAGAGGGACGTGTCGACCCCTCCGACCGTGCTTCCGGTAAGAGGCCACCCCGCCTCAGTGGGGCCAGCCCCCAGCTCCGGGCCCAGCGGGATGGCCTGGCCACTGCCAGGGAAACCGAGGTCTCAGGGGACCCTGCCCTCTCTCCGGAGCCCCTCGGGGCTATCACCTCTGAGCCGGGCGACCAGGGCACAGCCGGTGCCTTGGCTTGAAGGGCAGCTAAAGAGTGATTGACGTGTTTGTCACATGTACCCCCACTGTGGGTGCTGGGCAGAGGCTGGGCGAGTTATTGCTCTATTATCTGGTAGCTGGCACCAGGAAAGGTTTAGGAACGAGCCCCCGCCAGGTCACCGAGAGGTGCACGCGGCAGGGTGGGCGGTTTAGGGGCAGGGGCTGGAGAGCCAGGCACCACCTGACGGGCTTTTCCCCTTTCAGGACGACTTCCCCAGATACCCCGTGGTCAAGCTCTTCCAGTACAACGCCTGGAAGCAGTCCACCCAGCGCCTGCGCAGGGGCCTGCCTGCCCTCCTGCGTACCCGTCGGGGTCGCCTGCTCGCCAAGGAGCTCGAGGCGTTCAGAGAGGTCCAGCGCCAACGTCCCCTGATCGCCGTGCCCACCGAGGACCCCGCTCCCCACGGGGCCGCCTTTGTCGAGGTGTCCAGCAATCTGCAGTGAGCCAAATTGTTGTAATTCTGCGAAATGGCACCGTCCACCTTGTGCCCTCCTCTTGACCAGGGCCCTTACCACCGGGCCAGCCTCTGAAATCTCTCTGTACCATCCCCCTGAGCGGGCTTCCCCCCCAGCCCCCCCTGTCCCAACCTCCTCATGTCAGGCTCTTCCCTTCGGCCCCCTCCATCGGGCTGAGGGAATCATAGCACCATCTTCCAAAACGTACAAAACCGATTGGCTTTAAATATCCCCCCAAAATTATCCCCCCAGAATTATCTCCAAATTACACAACAAAAAATTGAAACCATGAGACCCCCTAAATCACATACACACACACACACACCAGCCCCCTTAAAACTAATTGGCTTTTTAAAAACACCAAAAAAACTAATTAGCTTAAAAAAAAAAACTAAAAAAATCAATTGGCTGAAAAAATACTAAAAAGGATTGGAAAAATAAAAGAATTCGGCGCCCCCCCCTTCCTTCTCTTCCTTTGTAGACCTCGAGTCAAATTGGCCGTGGGCTCGAGTCCTTGACCATCCGAGAGAGTGGAAGGGACCCCAAAATTTGCAGGTAGGCGTGTCTTGCTTCTCAGCCATCTCCCTTCTAGTGCAAAACTCTTGATTGGCACCTTTATTGTGATTGGCAGTGGGAACAGCAGAGACCCAAGCCTGTTCTTCGCTCTATCTCCTGTCACCGAAAGTCACCAGAGGGGAGTGAGCGAGGGGGACCCAATGAGACCAAAGGAAGGGAGCATGGAACATGGAAACCGAAATTCGTGCAAACAGAATTTAATTGGCCCAAACCCCCACACACTCGAACATCCATCCTCCAAAAACCCACATACCCCAAAATCTTACATCTCAACCCCCATCCTAAAAAGCACACACATCACATGCATCCCTGCACACACACACAGGCACACACACACGCAGATGGATGACAATGAGAGACACTGAAGTCCCTGACGCGCATGCAGATCAGACCGTGCTCCATCCCAAATTCTTTCAGCTGTCCCGCGTGAGGTTTTCATGTCCTGTGCTCCCTTCCCATCCCCTGGGATGCGCCCGAGAGTGGCAGGGGTGTGTCCCAGGCCCAGGCAGGCGGTTCCATATTTCCGAGATGAGGGAGGTGCCCCCTCTGTCTTGGCGCCTGTCCCCACGGTCCCCCGCAGTGTGAGCCCGTGCCCCCAGACCCCAGCAACATCAGTGCACCCTTCCATCGTGTGGAGCGAGGAACAGGTTTGGCCAGACTGGAGATGGCTGTAGCAAGCAAGGTGTGCCCTCCCAGGTAGCCTGACCCCCTGGGTGTGCTCCTGCGAGAAAGATCTGGGGATCCCCCCCGAGCACACCCAGGGATGGGGAGTGTGGGAAGTCTGGCGGTTTGGAGGGGCGGGTGGGGGGCAGTGGGGGCTGGGTGGGGGGAACGCTCTGGGGGAGCAGTCCAGTGAGGTTTTGGAGAGAAAAATCAGGAGGAGAGAGATTTGCAGAATTACGGGTAGAAATCAGGAATCCAAATTGACGTCAATTGATCTATTACCCCCCTTTAATTGGTTTCTCCTGGGGCTATTTTTCCTTTTTTTTTTTTTTGTTTTTTTTTTTGATCCCTCCTTAGCTTTTCATGCGCTCACACAACAAATTAAACTAACTCCCACCCCACGTAACGGGGAGCAGTGACGACACGCGGCCGACCATCCCCCACCTCCGTGGTGGGCGCCGTGCATCCTGCTCTCTGCCATTTATCGTCCTCAATTTGATTTTGGTTTTTATTCTGTCCCTGTTGCTTGGGTTGAGTTGAGAGTGGAGCCTCTGTGGGGGCGCTGGCCACTGCGCCCCACAGAGAAGTCAGAGGGGAATGGAGACGGCCGCTGCCTGGCCTGGCTTCCGGGGACGGTGGCTGGTCCCCGGAGGTCCTGAGGGGCGGAGGAGGGGTGGGGCGGCAGTTCCTCAGGTGTCAGGAAGGTGCTCGGTGGCCACCAGGATGGGGCCCCCGGCTGGCCTGAGGCCGGCCGGGGGGGAAGGGACTGCAGATGTGTGAGTAGAGGGACTCCATCGGGCTGGAGCAGGTGGCCGCCTTCCGCGCACTTGGGGAGCCCTTCCCCACCCCTCGGTGACACCTTGCCCGCCTCCTCAGCACCCCGTCTTGTCCCCAGGAGGCTCGGAGCTCTGTGGGGCCTCTTGGGGGCCAGGCGGGGTGAGGTCGGGCAGTAGGGGAGGTCAGGAGGGTGCGAGCCTTCCAGAGCAAGCGAGCTGCAAGTTAGTCCATCCACTGGGATCGCTTGGGCCCCCAGGCCAGTGGGTCTGGCGATACCGAACCAGCCACACCTCGGTGCCTAGGGCTGCGGCAGGGATCCGGGCGGCTGGGAGGTTTACCTCACCCCCACTTCTGCCCCCAGCGCAGCCCCCCTGCATGGCAGTCCGACTAGCAGTCTAGAGGCCCGAGGCTTGTGGGCCCTGGCGACGGGGCTGGCATGACCCTGGGGGCGGTCCATGCCAGCCCACCCGCGACACAGAGGGTCCCTCGGCAAGCGCCCGGAGAATGGGCCATTCGGACCATTGGACAGAAGCTCAAAGAGGCAAATTGTTGTAATTGGAGAACCACAGATTGGCCTGAGATCCAAAAAGACTTCGAGGCGCCCCAAAGTGTCTGCCCATTTGGCCGGACGCCCATCCCACCAGTGTTATTTTCTGCCTCGCCCGGGATGGGTGCTCCGGGGGCGTCTGCCGATGCTCCTCTGTGTCCCCCAGTGAGCAGCTCTCCGTGGGTCATTGCCATCCTGACCCGGGCCCCCGTCTGACCTCCCGAGCCTTTGATTGTGGCTGTCCATCTTGTCTCTTCCCCGAGTCCCCCCCCCCCAAACTGTCTTCAGCGGGACCCCCTCTTGGGTCCCTCCCTGTGCCACCACCTGAAGACCCCCACGTGCTGAACACCGCATGTCACCTTGCCCGCTGTTCCAGTCCATCTCGCAGCGGCCCGTGTTCGCCTCGGCTCAGCCCCTTTAACATGCTGGTACTTCTGGCAAAGTCCATCGCTTGGGTTTTGTCTTTAACTTTTAACGCTCGCAATCCCAATAAAGCATTCAAATTTATTTTGTTCTGAGTCCTGTGCTCTTTTACTTGGGTACTGGCTGGAAGGAGGGAGGGAGGGAAGGTCTGAACCCTGGGGAAGGGGCTGGGTAGGTGGGAGGGAGGGAGGGAAGACCCTGGGGGTGTGGAGGCCCCCCGGTCCCCCTGACAGCATACATAATGAAATGAGAACAGCCCGAAACCCCACATGCGCTTAGCCCTGACAGTGGCCACTCGTGGGGAGCCAGGGGCCCTGGGACAATCTCAGACACCACATCCTTGAAGAGAGTGCCATGGGGTGGGAGGGGCCCCGTGGGGGTGCTTTTTCAGGGGCCTACTGATGAGGAGTAAAATGCCCTCGCTGCCAACCCCAGGGAACTCTCCCAGCCTCTGGGGGCTCAGGATCCCAGGTTCTGGAACGTTCCAGAAGCTGCAGCTGTTGCTGGAGATGGGGACTCGTCGCCTGCATGCTCCCCTGCACACGCAGTTTCCCTCCCCGCAAGACTGAGGCCGCAGCAGACATCACTGGAAGCCCCCGTCTCCCGCTTAACCCTGCACCACTCGCCCAGACCACTCTGGCCTCTGGCCTTTAGGGTCCCTGAGCTCGTCACAAGGCGGGTAAGGCTGGCATCCAAGATGCTCGAGGTCTGGCCTGGACTTCTCCCCATCTCCACCCTCCCCCAAGCCCTCAGTCAGCAGGTGTGCCCACTGTGGGGAGAGGGGCAGGTGGGGGAAGGGCTGAGGAAGCGGGGCTGCGCCTGGGGTCCAGGCAGCGTTCAGTCGGGGCCCAGAGCTCTCAGGCCACTGCCGGGATTGGGGGAAGGCCTTGCACCCCAAGTCCACCCACTCTTTCCATCTCTGGTATTTCTCGCTGGCCTGGTGCTGGGCTTTGACTGTCTCAGAGCCAGTCCTCTGGGGTCTGCAGTGGTGTCCACACAGGTGGTCGCACTGTCCACGCTCACTGAGAACTAATCTAAGCAGGGAGCCCGGGGGGCTGCCTGGAGGAGGTGGGCTCAGCCTCCAAAGATGAGAACGGCTGGGAAGGCGGGGAAGAGACTGTTGGGTGGGGGCACTGTGTCCGTCTTGGGACAGCCAGGAGCCTGACAGAAGTGAGGCTAGGAGCAGAGGACCAGGCCCTGGCAGTACTGGATCCCCTGAAATGAGCTGCTGAGACACTTCCAGGGGGTGGGGGTGTGGGCCCAACTCGGGCCCTCTGCCCAGCCCCACCTACCTGAGACCAGGTTGGAGCTTGTCTCCCACCAGCCCCACGCAGGACCTGCCCGGTGTCCCCTCCCCAACCTTTAGGGACACTGGGCTCAGAGTCCCTCTCCCAGCTCTGGGCAACCCATGTCCTCTCCAGCCTCAACCCCCTGCCCCACCCAGGGCCTCCCCTCGCAGCCTCCTCCCCCACACCCTTGCCTGCACCCTGCCTTCCCCAAGACCCCCACGACCTCCCTGACCACTCAGCAGCCCAGGGCACAGCCAGGCCCCCCAGCTTTCCTGGGTTATCCCCGAACCGTCCTCCTGCCACGCTGCTTGGCCCAGCCATCCAGGAGCTCTGGGACTGCCCAGCCCCACTTTCCTGCCCCTCCCCCTGCTCTGCAAACTCTCAACTCATCTCTGGGGCTCCATCATTCATTCATTCATTCATTCACTCACACAGGTGGATGAGCACACACGCTCAGTGTCATGGAGGGAAACGTTGGGGTGCTCTTTTAAGCAGATGGGCCTCACGGAGAAAGTGGGGTTTGGGTGCAGGACTGAAGGAGGTGAGGGAGGTGTGGGGGTCTCCCGGAAGCAGGGAAGAAGCAGGTCCCTGGAGCTGGGGTGGGGATGGGGAGGGGCTGTAGCAGGGAGGGCGGGGGGGCCATGTGGGAGATGAGGTGAGAGGTGATGGGGGCTACACAGGTCATTGTCATTCATTCAACAAACATTTACAGTGTCCTACAGTAGCGGGCTGAATGGAGGCCCCCAAAGACATGTCCACATCCTCACCCCTGGGCCCTGTGAATGTGCCCCTATTGGGAAAAAGTGTCTTTGCAGATGTGATTAAGTGAAGGATCTCGAGATGAGGTCATCTTGGATTTAGGGGGGGCCCAAATCCAGCGACAGGTGTTCCCATCAGAGAAGAGAAGGAGACACCACACGGAGAGGAGGCCGTGGGAAGATGAGGCAGAGATTGGGGGCATGTGGCCCCAGGCCCAGGAATGGGCGGCTGCAGCCCCAGAAGCTGCGAGAGGTGGGCAGGACCCTCCGCTGGAGCCTCCGAGGGATTGCGGCCCTGCCGGCCTGGATTTCAGTCC